GTAGCCGGGCACCGAGAGAGCCATGACAAGCGGCGGTAAACGCCACCCGCCCTGCGCTTCCCGCGCGCGCTGGTCCCGCCCCCACGCTGCATCACGTCAGCGCGACGGACAGACGCTACGAGGCCCCGCCCTGCGTGTACCGCCTTCGCAGAGCGTGCGCAATGGCCAACCCGCAAGGCTCGCCCCCCAGCCCCCTTGCTGGGTTGCAGGCAGACGGGTCTCTCGTCTCCGAGTGCAGAGATGATGGGAAGCACGCAGTCCAGCGCCAGTGGACACTGTCTTGTTGGGCACCGAAATAGGTGAACCCTGCTTAAGTCCACCACAGGGATGTGTTCAGACCCTGGTATGGCGCCTGCATGGAAAGCAAACGTCACACTTAGGTGATGGGCTGTCGATCTGGTAACTTTCAGAAAGCAGAGGCGACTGGAGAGTTGGGGTGGGGGGCGGGCTGCCCCAGCCTAGTCCCCCAGAGAGTACTCTGGAATCAGCATACTCCGAACGCCGAACGCCGAACGCAGCCACCCAACAACCCTGCCGTCCCCTTTCCCAAGGCTTGGCCAGCCTACACCCGGGGAAACACTCGCAGCTGTCACAGGCAGTTACTGGGATCCGCTTGTTTGATCCTGGGGAAACTTAAGAGTGCATGAATATTTGAAAACAAAAGTTAAGTGCCTATTGGCTCGATCCTTTGAGACCTGAAAATATATTCAAATGCTTAAATTATGACTGCAGAGTCTTGTTAAGGAAGATGTTAAGAATGGGTTCATAAAAGATTAGTAACATTGCTTTGACAGTACATTTACAGCAAAGGCCTGTAATAGATTTATCAATAGAATAGCGTGGGTTTTGCTGAAAGCAGCAGTTTTCTTCATGAAAGAATTTATAACAGAGGTACAATGTACAGAAACAAAAACTAAAAAGGCTTTCTGAATATTTCCTTCAGATGTTGTGGAATTATCCCTATCACTTGCATAACAATGCAAAAACTTTCCAAATACATTAAATAACTGAGAATCTTGTCTTAACAAGAAAACATAATAATGGGACAACTTGCTTTTTTTTCTTCCTTGATCTTTTTTTCTCAATTTTCCAGCTTTCAATACTGGTCTTCCAAATGAGGTCTAAGAAATAAGAAAATTAAAATAGAACAACTTGCTTTTTTCTTCCTTGACTTTTCTGAACAACTTCCATGTAAACTTTTGCTTCATACAGTGGGACGGGTTCATCCAACTGAGGTCTGTGAAAGAAAAATCATTACAAATGTCAGTGTAGTTACAGATGAACAGAACACACAGGATGGCAGTTGACAGTTGCTGTAGTGCTTGTATAAGCAAATTATTCAAACAAACTTGTCCATTACTGTTTCTACAGTTGAAAGTTATTAGATTTTCAAGGAAAAAAAAAACCCTACAAAATCCCCTCCCTACTGTACGAGTCATAAACACATCTAATTTAAACAAAGAAACATACTTATCCTTCTTTTCAAGCTATGGATTAGTTCAAGTTGTTTTGGGAGGGATAATGAAGAGCAAAGGCTGAGGTGAAGAACACAACGGCAGGAAAACTCACAGGCTACTAGGCTACTTCTATCAGCACTTACTGGCACACTCCCTAGGTACACCTTGAGAAATTAAAGAGCATCTAACCCAGTGATGGCAAAACTTTTAGAGCTTTAACTGAAACAAACAGCCTGATGGGGCATGCATGCTGTAGGTTTGCCACTACTGAACCTAAATAAGAAAATATGGAGGCAACAGGTGTACTGTAAAACAAAAAGGAAATGCCCACTGCATCTCCCAGAGAATAGAAAAGTAAACAAGAACAATGATTTCTCTGCCTGCCTCGCAAGTGCAAGGACTCCAGTTTGATCTCGGTACCAAAAATCAAACCAAAACAATGATATGATTACTTTAGCATACCTAAAAACACCAGCTGATAACTTCTCCATCACGTCTTTTAAGATGCGTAGCTGGAAGGACTGTTAAGGTGGCAATACAAGAGGACAGAGGATTAAATAAAACCATTCAATTAAGCAAAAGATGTTAGGCAGATTACTTTCTCACTCACAGTTCTGCACTATCACAAATACTAAATGTCACAGAAATTATGTAATCTGTCAAGTCTAAGACAGAGAAATAATGTGAAATTGCTGGTGGAGTAACAGAGCCTGAACTAAGAACAAGTGATGAGAACAGCAAGCCTAGTGTCCAAGTGATGACCACTGTTACCCAATGGATGGCAATGTAGTGCGCATTCATTTCTGCACTATGTATGGTACTTAGTACTTACATTAGGTACATATACATTTAGAAATTAATCTGGTTGGTGGCATGCTGAAAATTTGCAGAAAAGTTAGTAATTGTGTATGTCACTAACAATCAAAATAATAATGTAAAAATTGAGAAAAGTATTTTGGTAATTTAATTTGCAAAAGATCTAACTTCCTGTTTCCAATCTCTGCAAGCTCTTTTTCTACTTTTGTTAATGAAACTGCCACCTGTGCATGTGTGTGTACAGACGCTCCACAAATTATGATGAGATTATGTACTATTAAACCCACTGAAAACTGAAAATATTCTAAATCAAAGGGGCACTGAAGGCTGGGTGTGGTGGTGCATGCCTATAATCCCAGCTCTTGGGAGATGGAGGCAAGAGAAGAATCACTGTGGGTCTGAAGCCAGCCAGGGCTACATAGTGAGTTTCAAGGTTAGCATGAACTGCATAGGGAGACCTTGTCTCAAAAACAAAAACAAACAAACAAACAAAAACAAAACAAAACAAAAAAAACCCACAAGGGGCTGGGGATTTAGCTCAGTGGTTCTGCCACCTGCCTCACAAGCAAAAGGTCCCTAGTTCAATCCCTGTAACAAAAAATAAAACCCCAAAACCAAAAACCAAACCAAACAAATAAACATTCAGACTTAGGTAGACATGGGTACATGCTGTAATCCCAGCTACTAGGGTAGCTGAGGCAGGAAGATTGCACATTTGAGGCCAGCCTGGGCAATTTAGCAGGACCCTATCTCAAAATACAAAACAAAAAGGGCTGAAAATGTAGATCAGTGTGACACCCTGGGTTCAACCATTAAATAAATAGTATATAAATAATTTTTCTTTTTTTAGTATTGGGGATTGAACACATGCCTTTGCACTTGTGAGGCAGGTGGCAGACATAAATAAAATTTAAAAAGTAAATCAGACACATCCTTAGTTGAAGATTTCCTATCAATAAAAATTGTAAAAACCAACTCTTTACTTCAGATGAACACACTGAAATGTTTTGTGCACTGGCACAACGTGGGGTAAGTGCACAACCTTCCAATAGAATGTATAAGGTCAGGTTAAAAACAAAACCTACTTTTGGTTAATGTCCTACTCAGGAACAGGAGAATGCCTGAGGGTGACTCTTGCTCTGCCACTTGCTGGCTGTGTCCCTGGGGATAGGAGAACCTCTCTATGCTTTAGTTTCTTCCCCTTGAAGTAGAAATAATAGTGGCACTTAGATCTTGTAGGGTTGTTTCGTGTTTAAATGAATACCTGCAAGGCACTTAGAACATGGCGTATGAAGGCAAAGTAAGCAGCTAAGTATAATTTCTTATCACAATGAGAGGATTTATGAGTAGAGCACAAGACACATTTCAAGTTAGAAACTCAATCAAATAAAAAGGATATAAAGATACTTTCCCTGCTGTACATTTGACAAATTCCAAACTTCATCATTTAGGAAAGCTATCGTTGCTCCCTTGAGGAAAAGGCGATGGCTATCTGGAGGGTCCAACTTCAATAGGATAAACAAAGACCAGTCAGATAGCGTGAGGTAAACAGAAGGGCACTTGGCATCGTGAGCCAAACATCTACACAAGTTAATGTCTATGTCACCAAAAGTCAGCACATACACTTTCACTATGTTTTCTATTTCATGAAACAGCAAGGTGTAAAAAAGATAAGGCAGACACACGGTCAATATAGAACCCTGGCGACGAATTGCTATGGGTTTCTGGCCATTGTACTCATGGTCGACTTCATGAATATGTTGGGAAGTCGACGAAGACTGGAATATGAGAAAAACAGTATTTGCATATCAACTATCATATAATTATTTAAAAACAACTGTTGCAAAATATAACTGTGGGCGTTAACTTATCTATACACATGTAATAATTCCAATTTCAGTAACTAGGAAATTGTAATAGCATTATACAGAAATATTTTGCTAAATATATGCCAACAATGTTTGTTACTAAGAAAAAAATATTTGAAACAATTTAAAAATTCAGAGGTCATTATTTTTAATTTACCACATAACACTGTAATTAATTCTAATTACAATTAAATGAATTGCAAATACAATTGGAGACACCCCCCCCAGGCAGTATTTCAACATTTTGACCAACATAGACCTAAAACCAAAAAAGGCTACATTTCTTTAAACATAGGGGTTTAATTCAGAAATTGGACTTATTAGCCAAGCATGGTGGCGCAAGCCTGTAATCCCAGCACTCGGGAGACTGAGGCAGGAGGATCACTGTGAGTTCAAGACCAGCCTGGGCTACATAGTGAGTTCCAGAGCAGTCTGAACTACATAGTGAGACTCTGTTTAAAAAAAAAAAAAACAGAAAGAAAGAAATTGGACTTATTGAGCCAGACCATACCTCAAATAAAACTGAGGCTGTACTTTATGTGAATTACATTCTTTGGTGCATTAGTAATGCTTTACTGTTTCTGATAATACCTGAAGGTTTTCTTCTGTTGTTACCCAGTGGCCTCCGACACCCAGAAGTGTGATGATATCGTGCTTATGTGGCAGTAGCTGTAATTTTACAGGTGGTTCATCATCTTTATTATATAATCTCACTTATAAGCGAAGAGTTAAAAAACAGAGAGAGAAAAATATATTTTATAATAACTTGAAAACTTATTCTTCAAGTAACTTCTTTACTTTTAAATATAGGACCACAAAAGCATACTTCTCAGAAAAAGGCAACATGCAGTATATTGAAGTATCTTAAACCACACTTTTTACAATAAAACTGGTCATAAAATTTTTTCAATGTTTAAAAATAAATGTAATAAAGTCTACTTTCATTTGGAAATCAAGCAAGGTAATATAATATACATAATTTAGCCTTATAATGCTAATTATAACAATATACCTTTATACAATCAAATGCATTGCTTTCTGATTAAAATATCATAGGCTTAAGGTAAACTTGGATGTAATTACTGAAATACATACTTAAAAAAATGATGTCAATGAAGTATATTCACTTCTGCTGAAAGATTTTTTGGGAGTTAATTTCAATTTTTTTCTCAAATTATTATTATTATTATTTTTTTTTGTACTGTAGATTGATCCCTTTACACTGAGCATATCCTAAGTCCTTTTTAAAAAAACTTTTTTATATTGAGATAGGTTCTTGCTAAGTCATGGAACTGCCTAGGCTGGGCTGGAACTTCCGATCCTCCTGCTTCAGCCTCCCAGAGTGCTGGACTTACAGGTGTGTCCTAGAAAATACAGTGTTTCTTAGAAACATCCATGACGGTCAGAGCTGTGTTCATAAACAGAAGCACTTTGCAGGCTGGTTGCACCATTCCTTTAGAGTGAGAGCACTACCTAAGCATGTGTGGATTAGATATTACCAGATTTTGGTTCAACTAAAAAAGTTCAAGAAAGGGAAAATGGAATAAAATTGCATATATTCTATAAATAGAAGCTACAGAAGTCAACTATGTAATAAGTAAGCAGCCACACATAGTGAAAGAGAGTGTCAGCATCTGGGAGCAACTGAGCAAATGCAGTTTTAAGTTTTTTAATAGAAATTTGTTATCTGTTACTTCAATTTGAAGGGCTATGCTTTAAAAGGCAAGCACAGCCTCTCTGCCAGTGAAACAAGGATAACAATGGAGTAAAATGAGGGTGGTCCAATCTAAACAGACACATGTTTAGTTAGAAACAAAGCTCCAGGCTGTGGATGCAGCTCAGCCGGAACACCGGCCTAGCATACATGAAGCCCTGAGTTCAATACCCACTAATGTAAAAAATAAAATCAAAACCCCTCAAAACAAAACTCCACACAAAAAGAAATCCTCAAATTAAAGGCGCCGTTCAATAAATGCATTAAAAGTCATTCCCTAGTTATAGCTTTTTCTGGAATCCATCAAACTAAAAAAGTCACACAGGCTAACTACAGATTTCACAAGTACCCACCTCCAGCATCTAGCACAATATCTACTCCCAGGCCACCTGTTTCTTCCAAACAGCTTTCAGCAATGTGGACTTTCCCAGTAGAGATATCAATCACTCGAGCTGGAAAAGGCAGGAAATCAGGCAATTGCACTGTTCTCTTTGTGACTAACTCAAATAAATCAGGGAAAAAGGTAAACAAAATCAAGCAGAGATCTGTTCTATGAAATGAATTAAGCAGTCCAAAAAATTACTAAATTTAAATAAGAAAAGTCAATTTCAAGGTATTTTTTTCTCATCGGATCTAATACTGGTGAGGATCAATCTAAATGGAGTGGTATATCCAATAAAGTAAAAATATGAGCAGCTTTGGACAAGGAGGCCCAAGGCTGGTGTGCTGACAAAGGAAACTATCTCTAGTCATAGGAGACGTTGCCAGTATATATATATCATATACGTTATGACGTGAACTGGAAGATCCAACAGTTTAAGTATATTTAGATTTGAGATTAGTGCTAAAAATACAAAAATATATTTATGTATAATGGTGTGTATCAACTAGATGTTTTATCTTTTTTCAGTGGTAGAAAGCTCCCATCTATCTCCTTACTCCCCCAAATAGAGAAAAATCCTGAAGGTAAAGAAAAGGAGTGAGATTATTTTTAGCAGTTAGTGAAAATTAAACTAATTTTTACAGGCTACTTTTTTTCTTGGTGTTTTGAGACAGGACCTCACTATGTAGTTCACAAGGCCTTGAACTCACTATGTAGCCCAGGCTAGCCTTGAACTCATGGCGATCCTCTTGCCTCAGCCTTCTGAGTGCTGGGATTATGAGTGTGCACTGCCATGCCTGGCTTGACGTTAAAGTATTCATTAAAAGAAAAACCAATCATATTAATATGCTAATAGGAAAATGTAAATGGAGAGAAATGATATTAGCCAGCATTTAAAGTAGCAATGACATGTTTATATTTTGTTATTTTTATTATTTATTTTAAAATGTATACTCCATTTTCGTATCATTTAACACCTTACTGAAAAGAATTCTTCAGAGCTGCTTGGATTAGAAGTGTAGTTCAACAGTAATCTGGGTTTTGGGAGGGACTGGGGTGGGAAGACAAAAGGAAAAGAGGACTGAAGCAGCTTAGGAAGAGCAGGACCCAGAAACTTTGCCTTTAACACTACCATTTCTGCTCTTTTTCATTCTGTTTTCTTCTTTTCTTTTTGTGGTGCTCGGGATCAAACCCACAGCCTCACACATGGTAGGCAAGTGCTCTGCCACTGACCTACAACCCCTTATTTCCAAATCTCTTCTTTCTTCTTTTCTCCTCCTTTTAGCCCTTATATTACCTTCCTTCCATTTCCTGGTTATCTCTGCCAGATACAGAAAGCAACAATGGTAGCGTGGACTTTAATGTTCAAACACTATTACAGTCCTTCCTTGGGGAAGCTAGTGAAATTCTGAGAAGCTATTCCTGGGTGTCCAACCTAAATTCCCGAGGACCTGAGGAAAGACCCACATTACCTCAATGAGCATTATTCCTTCTAGCCTGCCTTCACATTAGCTATGCTCATCATCCTCTTTGTTCTACCTCTGCTAGTTTCTCCATTCCTTTTTATTTTTCTTTTCTCAGTTTCTATTTTTTTTTCTTCTGGTCCATTATCAGTGCTGTTTAGATAGGTTCAATCTTGTCAACAGCCTTTACCATGAACTGCTCATCGTAAACTGTACCTGACTTGAAAAAGGGTCATCTGCTTTCCAGTGTGTAACAGAAAACAGACTGCTTCAGAGGGTAAATAAGTTGAGAAACATACCAAGTGATGTAAAAATATACTCATTTTATTCACTGAAACCAAAGATGCAACAGCTATGTCTAAACTGTGTTAAAGTTTGCTTAATTTAAACCTGGGGAAGCTGTTACAATGAGACAAAAACGAACAAACAGAGAAAGATGTTATGTTTAAAAAACTTTTATGTGAATTTGGATTCAGCACAGATATTAACTGCATTTAAGAAACAACTCTCATTTGGGATTCTGCACTTTGTTTCACCAGTGCAATTTTTTATGTCCTTACAAAATGTCATGTGGTAAAATCTGCACTGAGGAATGTTACTCACCTACAGGAGGTCTAAGTCTTTCAAGGTGCTGCTTGTCTTCCAGGCTGCAGGCTGTAGAGATTACTCTGGCTCCTCTGTGGTGTGCTAATTGAATGGCTATTGTGCCGAATGCCTGTGTGGAAACACATACACACAAAAGATTAACACATCCATTTTGCTTAGACTGTTTAATAAAGCGTAATTCTTGTTGGGTGTGGTGGTGCATCCCAGCATTCAGGAGGCGGAGGCAGAAGGATCATTCTGAGCTCGAGGCCAGCCTGAGCTACACAGTAAATTCACGGCCAAACTGGATTACATAGCAAGACCCTGACTCAACAAAAAAAAAAGTATAATTTTATAGAGTCATTTCAATATATTTTATTTTTAAATTTAAAAAAATTTTTTTTCCAGTACCAGGAATTGAACTCAGGACTTTGTGCTTGCCAGGCAGGCATGGCACTGCTGAGCTACATCTCTCTCCCTCTGTGTGTGTGTGTGTGTGTGTGTGTGTGTGTGTGTGTGTGTGTGTGTATATATATATATATTTTTTTTGTACCAGGGATCAAACTCAGGACCTTGTGCTTGTGAGGCAGGTGGGGCAACCACTGAGATAAATCCCTGGCCCACTTTAATGTATTTTTAAATGCTATGTAATAGGAGGAAAAATTACAGACAAATTTAGTGGTGGAAACATGTGATTTCTTCAGGAATGGTGGAGAAGCTGCATGTGCCAAGGATACAGGGCCACATTAACCATGGTCAAGAGAGAAAAATGGGCCTGTCTTGCTGATGGTCTGGGCTAATGATGTAGTCCCTGTGGGAGTCCAGCTACTTCTTTCTCTTTGGAGAGCAAAGCACTTTAAAAGCTCCATCTCCTTTTGGATCCATGGGGTAAGCTCAAGGAAACAATGCCATCCCAATGTTGGCCATCAGCAGAAGCCCAGGCTGAAGATAGTTTCCCTTTTTTTCAAAGAAAAGAAGATAGAAAATAAAACCATAAATTCATGTGAAAAATTTGAAACTTTAAAAAAATTATATTTAATTGTATTCTTTTAGTGTCTTTAACTTTTGCTTTGAAGCTACATCCTCAGCCCTTTTTATTTTAAGACAGGGTCTAAGTTGCCAGGTTGATCTTAAAATTGAGATCTTCTTGCTTCAGCTTTCTGAGCACCCGAGATGACAGGTGTGCCCCACCAGAGATGGCTTCCATTGTTTTTTTTAATGTTATATGTAATATGTTTCAATGAGTACATTTTGACCTGTGTGATCCATCTATAAAATATCAAAACTTTATCCACATAAATATGGGAGATCAGATACCAAACTGGCAAGGAGCTCTGAAGTATGAATTCAAAGGCTCATGAGCTATTGAGGCTTTGTGTAACAGGAATGAAAGTGGTGTGAACAGCAGTGTAGCCTAGTGGTACAGTGCTTGCTTAGCATATGCAAGGCCTTATATTTGGTCTCCAGCACTGGGGGAGAGGGGAAGGCCAATGTGTTCTTTAATGGACTAGAAGGTTCAAAGTAATTAGAAAATAGCCAAGTGCAGCGGCATAAGCCTGTAATCTCCACTTGGGAAGCTGAGGCAGGAGAACTGTAAGTCTAAGTCCAGCCTGGACAACTTATCAAGACCCTGTTTTAGAAAACCAAAAAAGCTATCCTTTATAAGGAAATGTGAAATTGGCAAAGAAACCAGTTAACGATATATTGGCAAGGAACTGGCAAATGGATGGCTCATTTCTAAATTCCCTATGCTTATGGTATGAGCTACATCTCCAGCTACTTTTATATGCATATATATATATATATATTTCTATAGTCTGTTTCTTAACAAAATCACTGGCACCCACACTTGCTCCGTCCATTATCAGCACCGATTTCCCGGAAGAGAGATGAGAAAGGTAATGCAGAGCTGTATAGGCTCGGACTCCATCCCGAATCGTTGCAGCCGCTTCTGTCCACGTGACCTTTTCTGGTTTATGAACTATCACAAAGAGGGAGAGGAAACAACCCATTAGCAAGTTCCATTTGTACTACCTCCTAGAGTGATTTCTCTCTATCTCTGCCACCAAGGGTGCTAGCACAATACAAACCTGACCTGTTATTTTTCACCTGCTTTACAGTTTCCCTGTTTTGATTCTTTCCCACACACATATGAAAGTATATACATTTTCAACACAGGAAACAAGGCGAGTGTATTCTTAATTTCTTTATTGTGAAACAGAACACATGGCAAAAATACATGAAACATAAAGTGTAAGAATAATAAATGCAGCCAGGTATGGTGATGCACACCCCAAACCCCAGCACTTAGGAGGCTGAGGCAGGAGGATCACTGGGTTCAAGACCAGCCTGGACTACACAGTAGGTTCACAGTCAGCCTAAGCTACACAGCAAGACCCTGTGTCAATCCCTCTCCTCACAATAGCTTGAGCCCAGCCTGGGCAGCTCAGTAACTTAGGGAGAGATTGTCTCAAAATAAATAAATAGAAAAAAGGATATGCCCCAATATAGCAAAAACAAAAACAAAGAAACAAAAAAACCCTGACGGTGAAATCTCACCCCCGAGAGCTGGACCTGGGCCTGGAGTGGCCTAGACACTGACATCTAAAGCCCAGGAATCATCCTACACCTTGCACGGCTATCCAGTTAGCAGCCTCCCCTCGCTCCACCAGAGGTCGCCCCATGCTGACTCCATTTTTTTCTTTTCTATAATTTATCACTCTAGCATGCATTCCTAAACAGTATCATTTAATTTTGCCTGGTTTTGAACTTTATCAAAATAGAAACGCATCTTATGCATTCTTTCCTATCTTGCCTTTTACACGCTTTTTACATTTTCTTAAGGATATATCCTTTTTTGTGTCTTTTAATTTGGGAGGCTTTTATGGTATATTTATTGTACTGGGATTTGAACTCTGGGCTATTGCACTGAGCTACATTCCCAATCCTTTATTATTATTATTGTTGTTGTTGTTGTTGTTGTTGTTATTATTATTATTATTATTATTTTGGTTGTTTGTTCTGAGACAGAGTCTCACTATGTATTCAGACTGGCCCTGAATTCACTGTGCAGCCCAAGCTGACCTGGAACTCAAGGCAATTCTCCTGCTTCAGCCTCCAAGTACTGGGATTACAGGTGTATGTCACCATGCCCAGCCTATGATTTTTATTTTGAGACAGAGTCTAAGTCACTAAATTGACCAGGCTGGCCTTGAACTTGTAATCCTCTTGCCTCAGCCTCCCAAAAGGTGTGTACCACCACATCTAGCTTCATTTCTGTTGTTTAATGTGTTTCACTATGTGGAAATACCTTCGTTTGGTTACTTTTCTCCAGCTGATGAATACTTGCACTATCTTTAATTTTTGCCAGTTAAACACAATGCTAAGAATGTTCTTGTGTAAATATTTTCTTGCATGATACTTACTCTGGAATAGGAATTCAGGTGCCAGCGTATATCAATTTTAACTTAACGACAAACTTGCAGAGTGCTTGTGTCACTGCAGTGTCCTATGCTGTGAAAGTCTTTTTCAACCTTAAATAGTAGATTTATTCATTTTTTTCCCAATCATGTGGGCACGTAAGGGTTTCTTACTGTGATTTGAATTTGTTTCTCTTTATTTTTTAAAAAAGTTGAGCATCTTCCCATGTTTGTTAGCATTCTGGAATTCCTTTGGGTGAAGTGACCAAGTCTTTGTCAAATTTCCTATGCTCTTTTTCTTTATTGATACCTAGAAACTCTTCGCATAGTCTAGTACATTGTATATGTATATTTATGTGCTGTAAAGAGAATGATTCCTTTTTTTCAGTACTCCAGATGGGAAGTGTTTTAGATTTTAGAATATTTACATAAAGAGCTACTGTATGGAACCCATGTCTAAACATGAAATTCATTTATATTTCTCATATATCTTATACATACAGCCTAAAGGGAATTTTATACAATATATTTATTTATTTATTGGCACTGGAGATTGAATTCCAGTCCTTGCACTTGCGAGGCAGCTCCAGAACCACTGACCTAAATCCCCAGTCTATGATTTTTTTTTTGGAACCAGGGATCAAACTCTGGTCCTTGTACTTGTGAGGCAGGTGTATACAATATTTTTAGTGTGTATGTTTGTTTTGTATCGGGAACTGAACTTTGGATCTTGTGCTTACAAGGCAGGCATGGAGCCACTGAGGGGCATAATTTTTTGTTTTTTGGGTTTTTTTTGGTACCAGGGATTGAATTCACGATCTTGTGCTTGCAAGGAAGGTGGTGGAACCATTAAGCTAAATTCCCAGGCTGTGTGTGTTTGTTGTGACTGTGACCTGTCACATGAGATCAGGTATAAAATGTTTCAATTGTGGCACTATGTTGGTGCTCACAAAGTTTTAGATTTTGAAGTATTTTTGTTTTCAGATTAGGATGCTGGACATGCATTTAACTTTATGGCTTTTCTTTTCAATTACTGGAATGGACTCTGAAAATATGTGTTGGAATGATTCTTTTAAAACAAGTAATATTCCAGCACTTGTCTGCTTAAGATCCATCAACAGGCAGTCATTTCTGTTATTTAAGAGGCTGAGGCAGGAAGATGGCAAGTTTGAGGTAGGCCTGGGCAACTTAATGAGATATTGTCTCAAAAAAAAAAAAAATAAGGTTGTAGACATAGCTCAATTCCCAGTACTGGGGGGAAAAAATAAGTCAATAGGTTTCCACTGCATTTGGAACAAAATGCATACTTTAAAAAAAAAATTTCTTTGTGTCTGACTTTTCTGCACCTCACTATTTAATTTTTGTGTAAATTTTGTTGTAAACTGAGTATGATTCTTTTCACAATACAAGCAGTCCTTTCTCATTTTACTTAATGACAGTAGTTAGATGGCATGGCCACAGAGCATCAGCACTGCATCAGTGACACTCCAGTGCCATCTAGTGGGAAAGAGGAGCATTCAGCCATCCATGTTGGAAATGTTCAGGCAGACGGGCAGGGAATCAAAACTGTGAGAACATGCTAAGTACCGGGTGACAGCCGACACAGTACATCATTTCTTATGAAATTAAGACAGCTGTGATATAAATTTTTGTGGTGTTTCATCCTTGGTTTTTGCTCATAATTCCTGCAGCCCTTGTTATTTCCTGAATGACCAGAACTATAAGCATAAGCATAAGCATATCTATTTATCTATCTATCTATCTATCTATCTATCTATCTATCTATCTATCTATCTTTGGTCTTGGTTCCTAAAGCATCTTCAGAGTAATAAAGATAAAAGAAAGCCTTTTATGATGTTGGAGCGCTTTTTTTCGTGCTCCTCTCTCTGTCTCTGTACCACTCTTTCTGTCTCTCCTTCCCTTGTGCTTCTTTACCTGCTCCTTCTTCTCCCCAGTGCAGGCCACAGAAACTAGAAATTCTGCTCCCTAAGGCAAGTCAGAGAAACTAAAAATATATCATCACCTTCTCTGGCCTTTCTGTCTTAGGGCTGGCCTGGCCATAAAAAAATTCTGACATACCTTATCTGAAAGTAGACCTTACAGCCTCCATTTCACAGGGGTCTGGCCCCATCTCAGGGAGCAAGGAATGCTGCAAAAAGAGGCCAAGAAGATTCTGAACGTAGAGGCCTTGCTGAGTTTCTCCATGTGGTCTACTGGCATTAGGTGATGTCTGTTTGTCTAAGCACATCTCTACAGGGCTGCCCATGCTTTAATCATGCCTATCAATAAAGCCTCCGTTTAAAAAAATTCCCAAAGGACGGGTTGAGAGATTCTTGACAGGTTAACATGAAAGCTTGGGGGAAGGTGAACAAGAACACATTCACATGCTGGAAGGGCAGCTGCCCCAACTCGACAGGGACAGAAGCGCCTGTGCTCAGGACTCTCCCACAGCTTACCCTATGAATGTCTTCATCTGGCTGCTTATTCATAGCCTTTAAGAATCTTTCATAATGAATAGGCAAATATATTTTCCTGAGTTCTATAATCTATCCTAGCTAATTAATTGAGCTAGATTGGAACCCGAACGTGTAGCAGTTGGTCAGAAATACTAAGGCTCAGACTTGTGACTGCCTCTGAAGGAAGCGCACTCCTGTGGGCCTACATCCTAGATCCATGGGATCTGATGCTATCTCCTGATGCAGAAAGCATCAGGATGAAGGAGGATTAGAGGATGCCCAGCTGATTGCTTGCTGGCGAGAGAAATTCCCACACATGTTGAGGTCACTTCAGAAGGTGTCTATGTTGTATGTCAGTTTGGGTTTATTTCTTCTACCCAGTAGCTATTCTCTCAATATTATGGATTATGAATTAATCTGCCTAAGGCCATATAGCAAATAAGGTGAATGTATGACTGACACTTCATGCTCATCCTCTGTATAACTGATTTATGTGGCCTTCTGGGGGAATATTTTTATCATAAGCACTGAGTCTACTGTATTTTATTAAACTATCAATCATGCAGTCCTTAATATTAAAGGCAATAAAACTGGGTTTAAGATTTCAAAGATTCTGTCAGGTGTGGTAACACACGCCTATAATCTCAGCACTTGGGAGGCTAAAGCAGCCACAAGTTCGAGGCCAACCTGGGCTACATGGTGAGTTTAAGACCAGCCTGAACTAATAGTGAGATCCTGTCTCAAAAAAGAAACAAACAAACAAACAAACTAAGAAAACAAACAAATAAAAAAATTGCATAGTCAAATGTAGGTTAAGATCCTTGCTTTTGCATTAAGTAGTCAATGGGTGCTTATTATGTTATATAAACTAACTAAATAAAAGACAGCAATGTGTGGATCAATAATAACTGTATCAGTACAATGAATTATAATTTCAAAATGAATTATAATTTCATTTTTCTTTCTTTTTTTGGTACTGGAAATCGAAATTTCATTTTTAAAAAAAATTTCATTTCTTTCTTGCTTAGGTCCAAAGTAATAAGAAGACAGTGCTGAAATGTGTCCCACGTTTTGAAATGAAAAACAAAATTATGTTTGAGAGAATG